ATGGGCCTTCCATCAAGTATTAAAACTGATAATGCTCCTGCTTATAATTCTAAGAAAACACAAGAGTTTCTTAAAAAATGGAACATTAATCACATTACTGGTATTCCATATAACCCCCAAGGACAAGCTATAATAGAAAGGGCTAATTTAACATCACAAACTAAGTTGAAAAAACAGAAGGGGGGAGATACAATGGGACGAATATCATCTCCTCGAACTCTCTTACAAAAAGCCTTATTTACTTTAAATTTTTTAAATGCTAATGAAGATCAGAGAATGGCCAAAATTATTGGAGCAGCTATTGCTGCCAGTTTAGGGCCTGTGTCAGGAAAAGAAAGTCTTACTCTTTCTTTGTGTTAAATTTGTGTCTTCTAGACTGCAGCAGTTCCATAATGCATCTTCAAAGATATGAACGTGTATCCCTAAGCACAATTGATAAGTGCATTTAAATTCCAAGATTAAGAATGTTAACAACTTTAGTTTGCTTGGCTCCACAGTCAACAATCTTGGTACCAGCAAACAGGAAATCAAGAGACTAATTGCATTGGGAAAGTTGGCTGTCAGTGACCTCTCCAGAGTACTGAAGAGCAATGACATCAGTCTGGAGACTAAGATGTGCCTGATCTAGGCCACAGTCTTCACAATTGCTATAACAGTACATTGTCAAAGAACAAGCAGAATTTCAAGCTGGGTTTGGCAGAGGCTGTTGCCACCAGGAATATCATTGCTAATGTCAGATAGATGGATCCTGGCTGAAACCAAAGAATACCAGTAGAATGTCAATCTGTGTTTTATTGATTATGCAGAGGTATAATAACAATGGGCTTGAGTGTATCAGAGATGGTGGGGATGGCACAGTTTAGGCCAAGGTTCAGATCTGTTGTTCACAGGCTCGCTATGAGTTGTAGTGAACTTGATGATACCTAACAACAAACAACCCAGTGTTTTGATTCAGGCCACTCAAACGACCTTTGACTCTATTTCACCACCTACTGAATCCTAAGGATCCCATGGACTGCCAAAAGAACAAACAGATAAGTCTTGGAGAAAGTTCAGCCATAGTCCTCTTTATAGGTAAGGATGGTGAAGCTTCACCTCAGCTATTTTGGGTATGTTGTTAGGAGGGCTATTCTTTGGAAAGTGACGTCAGACTAGGAAAGGTGGAGAGTCAGTGAAACAGACTTTTTTTAAAAAAAAATTTATTTTATTATTTTTGTGTATGTACCGTCAAATCAGATCTGACTGGTACAGGAGGAAATCGCCCTTCTTTCTCCAGTAGAGCATCTAGTGGATTCAAACCACATACTTCTGAGATTGAATGAAATAGACTCTAAGCAACACGAATTCACACACTGATTGCAGCAATGTGCAGCAATTGAGCACATTGCTCAAGTGTTTCAGAGATGATGACAATGGCACAGGAAAGGACAGAGTTACCATCCCAATTCTTTTCAGCCTTTATTTTATAGGATTTGGGGGGGACTGGTAGGGAACCCTGGTAGTGCAGGGGCTAATGTAGAAAGGTCAGCCTATCAGCTGTTTTGTTTCACAAAGATACGGCAGTTGGCTTTTTTAAATTTTATTATTTTTTTAAATTTTATTACTTTTGTGTGATTGTACCGTCAAATCAGATCTGACTGGTAGAGGAGATTGTCCCTCCTTCCCCGGCAGAGCAACTGGTGGATTTGAACCGTGCACCTCTGGGATTGTAGTTGCAGCTCCTTACCACTAGGCCACCAGAGCTCCCCTGGCAGTTGACTTTTATACAGAAAAATAGCCTAGGATATCCTGGGCAACTAATTACACTCTGTTGTATAAATTTGCCTTGAGTTGGAATTGACTTCATGATTCTGATACTATCCTTTCTGCTGTTTTATTTTCTTGGTTCTTAACATTATATTCTTTAGTTCTCACTGCTCTGCTCTTTCTTTTTGTTGTTGTTGTTGCCTACCATTGAGTCGGATCCAACTGGCACAGGTGGAGACTGCCACTTCTTCTCCCAGCGGAGCATCTGATGGGTTCGAACCATGTACCTTTGGGATTACAGTGCTGCTCTCCTCCTTTTTCTTGGGGGAGAGGGTGTGGAGGGAGGGGTGTTGTTGGGGGGTTTTTCCCTCTACCTGCTCCTTCCATGATTTTTTCTTCAGTCCCTTCTCTCTTCTTAGACAAGATTACTGAAAGTACTTTAAACTTTTTTTCTTCTGTTCCCTTCTTGATCGCTACCTCGTGCCAGACTGACTTCACAGTCATACAAAAACAAGAATTAAGGCAGATTTACTCCGTATGTACGCTTTTCTAATAGATTAAGGATTCTCCCCTAACCTAAATATCTTTGCATAAAGTCAGTATTATTTTTAGTGGGCTCTCTCAGGCTGTAAATCGGAGGAAATCGCCTCTTTCTCTCTCCAGACGAGGAGATGTTGTTAAGTGCCCACGAGTTGCAGGCAACTCATAGAGACCCTACGAAGTAGAGTCCTCGACACTTGGGTGTCTTTCATCCTCTCTCCAGGTTCATAGCGTTTCCGGAGGTAAGCTATTACGGAAATGGATGCCACTCCTCCTTCCAAGTTTGTTTTAATCCGGGAGCTCCACCCCACTCTCTGTCCGCATTGGGTGACCAACCATTAAAACGCATTTGACACATCAGTGTCACAGTGTTCAGCCTCACAGCAACCACAAGTTACCGCTGTACGGCAACTTGTACACCAGGGCTGTACGACCTAGAGGAATGTCTGAACAAAACCAATCAAAGACAGGCCCAAGGGCCGAGGATTAAAAGTCACCCACCTTCGGCTTGGTAGCATCGCCTTATGTCCACTGGGCCAGCCGATCTCTTTCTTTTGGGTTAGCAGTGCAATTCTTTACTCAGGAGGTTTTCAGAGCTCCCTACTGTGGAAGGTTTACTTCCCACACACTACCCTCCCTAGCCTCTACTACCACCTGAAGTTCTCTGAGATAAAGCTCTCGATTCTTACTGTATTTTCTTTACTTCTGTCTTTTCTTGCCTTCTTTACTAGACGATATGCAGTTTCATTCACTCTTCTCCTTGGAATAAAGGATTTTCCATTTTTATCCTGGGAATTTCTTTTCACTTTTAACTGAGGTCAGCTTTCCTCCATGTCGCTTCAGTTCCCCTTATCTTTAGGTGATGCAAATTATCTCCTTGCTAGTGCTCCATTTTAGCTTTTCCTAACTAGGGCTCTTCTTGATTAATTGGATCCTGTTCTCCTGTCTCCCCTTAAAAGGGAGGTCCTATTATATAAGGGAACCCTGGTGGACTAGTGCTATAAAGCTTCACTGTAATCCAGAGGCTAAAGGTTACACTCAACCAGCTCCTCTGAGGGAGAAGTTTGGCTAAATTCCTCCTCCAATGCGATTTACTGCCTCTGAAAACCCATTGGAGGGTCACATATGGGTCGTTTGCGACTCAAGGACACACAAGAACAATAATTCTTATTTGTCTTTGTCTCCCCACACATCCAGTGCCTACTAAACATCCAGTGGTTACTTCCATTATAAAGAATTAGATAATAACGGTCCTGTCGGGGTCCCCAACCTTGTAAAATGCAGGGATGACTGAGAGAACCCTGTGGACTTCGCCAAGGTCACCCTCGGTACTACTTCAAGATGCTCTTGCCTACTCACCCCCACCCTGCGACAGTTCAAAGCGCCCAAGGTCCTTATCTAAGGAGAAAGCACAAGGGCATCCAAAGTCAGCACACGTGTTTCCTAACAGGAACTCAGCCCCTTTACCATACGTACTTCCGCAAAGGGCTCTTTCCAACTGACAGCCCTGTGCTCCAATTATCTGTCAAAGCTGGAAGGTGGGCCCATCTTGATATCATCCAATGAAAAAAGAGAATTTCAGATTAGCACTAGTCTTAACCAACAGATGAGATGATGGCACTATACTACCCTATCTAAACAGCGCTGAGGATAATGAGCAGCAACTTCTTCCAATGGAAATGCCTACAGCAGACTCGACCTCGCCCCAACTGTCCGAGACTTGGCAGAGTCCTCCTCTGCGGTGCTCAGTCGCCACTCAGACTCCGCCATGTTGGGGTTTGTGGGTCGTGTGGCAGCCGCCTCGGCTTCTGGGGCCTTGCGGGGCCTCGGCCCTTCAACATCGCTTCCCCAAACCCAGCTCTTGCTGCGGGCCGTCCCCGCAGCGCTGCAGCCTGGTAAGTGCCTCTGTTAAGGAGTCGGACTCTTTTGGTCCCTTGACCTTGAGCAGAGGGCCTATTGTCGTTCAGGCCTCAGCATTCCTTGGTGGTAATAGGACGAATGGGCAGCTCCCAGTTATTTAAGAGCGGGACAGACAAGGACAAGCCCTCTTAGAACTTTTTAACACCTGATTCCGCTCTCTGTTGTGGAAGGGGCCCTGTGACCAGAAAAGGCGGACAGGTGCGTTGACCTTTTGTGAAATGTGCACCAAGCTTGAGCATTGGCGTTGAGGGCGTGAGAGTAGGACCGCTGTGCAGGCTGCTGCAGGCCTTCGCCATTGAACACGCGGTCCTGCCTTCCCAGCGGAAAACTGGGCCTGTGCCGAATCCACCTCCGCCTGGGCTCGAAGTCGGGGCTTCCTATGACCTTTAACCGCCCTTAGCTTTATACGCCCTTTCGCTTCCAACATCTTTTTGCATCTTAGGCAGAGACTATGCGGCCCAAACATCTCCTGCACCAAAGGCAGGCGCTGCCACCGGGCGCATCGTGGCGGTCATCGGGGCGGTGGTGGACGTCCAGTTTGACGAGGGCCTACCCCCGATCCTAAATGCTCTGGAAGTGCAGGGCAGGGATACCAGACTGGTCTTGGAAGTAGCCCAGCATTTGGGTAAGTAGATCGACTATGTTAAGAGTAATAAATTGTACGCACAAATGTACCCCAGATTAAGCTATCTCCGTTCTATGATGATTTCCTCAAAGTGACTTTCGTTCTTCTGAATTTGCTGAAGCCACATTTCGGTTCTGAGAAGGGAGTCGTTACTTTTTTTAAATAAAGAAATCCAGTTTGTCCGTATATGTAATTAGAATACCTTAATTTGTCAGGTGAGAGCACAGTAAGGACCATTGCTATGGATGGTACCGAAGGTTTGGTCAGAGGTCAGAAGGTCCTGGATTCTGGAGCACCAATCAAAATTCCTGTTGGTCCTGAGACCTTGGGCAGAATCATGAATGTCATTGGAGAACCCATTGACGAGAGAGGTCCTATCAAAACTAAACAGTGAGTGTCACTCATTGCACTTATTCCCAGATGAACGGCTTTTATTATGGGAAGCCAAACTCGATACCAAACATTATATGAAAACCCTTGTTCAGGAATTGAAGGAATTACAGATGTATAATTTAGGATTTCTCTTGTGGCAGATCCTAGAAAATGAGCTGTTTGTTCCCTGCAAGACAGGAGACAGCAAGGGGCCCCCTACAGAGGGAGTGTTGCTTCCTGAGCTGGGGTTCACCCTGAGGCATCAACCAAATTCTTTCATTTGTGAACCCCTCCCTCCTGAGTCAAGCAGATTATTGTTTTAATTAAAGTTTACATAAAGTTGGGTTTTTCTTTCATTCATTGTTACACATTTTCCTCTTGTTGTTTTGTACTTTGTAAGCTGACATGTTCTGGGTACAGCAGAATTGCCCTAAGAGAACAATGACAATTTTGATAGAGTCATCTCTTAAACTCACACTGTAATTTTTTTTTTTTAATTATATTTTGTGTGTGTACCGACAAATCGGGTCTGGTCTGACTGGTACAGGAGATTGCCTCTCCTCCAGCAGAGCATCTGGTGGATTCGAACTGTGCATCTCTGGGATTGCAGTGCAGCTTCTTGCCACTAGGCCACCAGAGCTCCCTTTGTAATTGTTTTTAAAAAAAATATTTCTTTTATTGCTTTGAATGCAATAATTTGTTTACATGTGTTACACACTGCAGTTTCTGTTGAAGAAATTGTTGCTGCTGGAAGTTTTAAATTCTCCCCCCTCCCCCCCAATCAGGTGGGTAATGTGCCCAGGTTGTAACAAGGTTTAAGGGGAGGCACATGTCATACAAAAGCATAAACCACCCCAATTGTCATGCTAATGAATCGAAAAAGGATCTGAAAATTCTAATTTGAAACTATTTTAGTCCTAATCCCTTAGGTTTTGTGGTCTCAGAAATGTGCATGCCTTTCAAGTTTTTTCGTGTGAAAAACTACTTTTGTTCTTTTACATTACTGTTCCATCAGAACTGTCTCATAGCTTACCCTCCGCTAGGCTTCTGAGTCACATGGTAGAAGATTGTTCATCTTTTTCCAGGGGAGTTGCAGAGCTCTCTACTTACAAGTCAGGGCTTGTTAAAAGAAAACAGTTCTTTTCTAGTTTAAATTATTATTAAGAGTGGAATTACTGGAGCTCTGGGGGCCTAGTGGCAAGAAGCTGCACTGCAGTCCCATAGTTGCGTGGTTTGAATCCACCAGATAGATAGATACTCTGCTGTACCAGTCAGATCTGATTTAATGGCACACACACACAAAATAATAAAATATTTTAGGGGAGCTCTGGTGGCCTAGTGGCAAGAAGCTGCACTACAATCCCAGAGGCGCATGGTTCAAATCCACCAGATGCTCTGCCGAGGAAGGAGGGACAATCTCCTCCTGTACCAGTCAGATCTGATTTGACAGTACACACACATAAAAAAAAAATAATAAAAAATTTTTTTTTAAAAATGGAATTACTGCTTCCTCATAATGGTAGACAGCCAAGATGCTCATAGTAACTAGAGTGTTGAATTCAGGGGAGGAGTGTGTGTGAGATAGTGAGTGAAAGGTTAGATTTAAGAGAAACCCTTAAGACTTACCAACAATCATTTATAAAACTGACTTCTCACAGAGGAATTAGACTGATTTCTCTCTCCTATATTTACAGATTTGCTCCTATTCATGCTGAGGCTCCTGAGTTCATGGAGATGAGTGTTGAGCAGGAAATTCTGGTTACTGGTATCAAGGTTGTGGATCTACTGGCTCCCTATGCCAAGGGTGGCAAAATTGGTATGTTAGTGAGTGCATTTATTTCCTCTGTGAGAATAATCATGAGCAAGTATTTAAATCTGTTCTGTGATGAATAGCTTCTGACTTTCGTTCTTCTGAATTTGCTGAAGCCAGATGCCATTCCTGAGAAAAGATGGAAAGAATAAGATTTACTTATAAGTTTGTCTTTTTGAGAATCCAGAGCTTTTCTTAAAATATTTTTTTACCTTGACTCATATTTTGAAAACATAGGGGTTTTTTTCCAATCCTTCATATACTTTGTTTTCTGACTTTAATTGTATTATAATTTAATGAACTACTGTGTCTGATAACACCTTACAGCATATTGCTTTTGACTTGACTTAATACTTTTTATTTTCCTCTCCCTCCCTTCCTATCCCTGGTAACCATGTAAATGTAGAACTTTAGTCTTAATTTCTTCTCAACCTTTCCCAGGACTTTTTGGTGGTGCTGGAGTTGGGAAGACTGTACTGATCATGGAATTGATCAACAATGTTGCCAAAGCCCATGGTGGTTACTCTGTGTTTGCTGGTGTTGGTGAAAGGACCCGTGAGGGCAATGACTTATACCATGAAATGATTGAATCTGGTGTTATCAATTTGAAAGATGCTACCTCCAAGGTGAGCATTGAACCATTGTCCACATGGTAGTTGTCCCAGAAAACACTTGTTATTGACTATGCCAGTTGAAACTTTGTTCCTGTCCTGGATCTTACCATGGAAATGGCTGTCACTGCTTTCCACCTCAAACATCTAATACACTAGTGCACATCCTCTTTTCCCTTTGACATGAGATTACATTTCTAGATTTTTTTTAACAATTAAATTTAATGAACGTTTACAGAGATTTTGGATTTCCATACATTTATTGTTGCATTTTTCTCCCTGACCACTCCTCCCCCCAGTTTGCTCTTCTCTTTGAAAAGGAAATTTGGTATTAGAAACCCCCTCCCCTTGCCCCGAGTACACTCCACTATGCAACCTTCATTCTGGACTCTTGTCATAACCATAGTACACAATCATAACGTTTTCAAACAGTTCTCTCCCTCATCTGTTTCAATGTAGCATATACATAATTTATCCAATTTTTCTCAGTCTCACCCCAACCCTGATGTCAGTCCTGTTCTACAATAGTGGCACCATGCAGCACCTGTCCTTTTGTGACAGATATTTTACTCAGTATAATGTGCTCCACAGTCACCCATTTTGAATAATACTGCATGAGTTCATTGTTTTCCAATGCAGCGTAGTATTCCATTGTGTGAATATACCAGAGCTTCTCTATCCATTTGTTGGTGGGCACTTAGATTGTTTCCAACTCTTTGCTATTGTGAACAAAGCCGCAATAAAAATGTGTGTGCGTATATCTGCCTGGGCTGCAGTTACGGTTTCTTTAGGGTATATTCCCAGTAATGGAATTGCTGGGTCAAATGGTATTTCTATTAGCAACTTTTTTTTTTATTAATTTGTCATTCTGTTATTTTTTGTGTGTGTGTGTGTATCATCAAATTGGGTCTGACTGGAGGAGATTGTCCTTCCTTTTTCAGCAGAACATCTGGTGGATTCGAACCGTACACCTCTGGGATTGCAGTGCAGCTTCTTGCCACTAGGCCACCAGAGCTCCCTTATTTGCAACTTTTTGAGAGAGCGCCATACAGCCTTCTATAGTGGTTGTACCATTTTACACTCCCAACAGTGAATAGGGGTTGTTTGCTGCTCTGTTAAATTTTGCTATTCTTATTGGGATGAGATGATATCTCATAGTTGTTTTGGTTTGTGGGTTTTGTTTTTGTTTTTTTTTTTAATATGTAGTCCTGTTTGAAAGTTTGGACTGAAGGTAGGTAGTGGCATATGTGTTTTGGTTAACCTTATTTTGTAATGTTTAAATTATTTGGCAGCATTATCTTACTATAAGAATTTTGTTTTTATAAACTATTAGTTGGTTTGATATGTAGGTAAATATCAGTTTACCATGCTTTTAATTTTGCACATTCATATTCTAGGGAACCAATGGGTTCTCTTACTAGTTTTGTGGGTGTTGTTTGGGAAGAGTCACAACATCTGTTTACATTGACCTTGCCAACCCTAGAATGTGTATACTTGTATATCTTCCTTCCTAGGTACTAGTTTGCAGCTGTCTTTATGTCAATACAGAAAAAATAACATTCAATAGTGTGCTGTCAAACTGTGCTTAGCTTCTCTGGATATGCCCACAATGTTAAATGTCTAAACATTAATCATTAAAACATTTTTCATTTAAAAAAAAAATTTTGTTTTTATAACAAATACAACTTTATTTCATGTCTTGAACCATATCTCTAAGAGGGAAAAAGAAATTTAAAAATAATAACACATTCTTGAGGAGCAGAAGTCTCAGCTCATTCTCCTGGGGGGTTGTTTCTTACTTGGGAATCTCCTGTACTCCTTTGCTGGCTTTCTGATGATGTTGTGTGACTGTCATAGGTGGCGCTGGTGTATGGTCAAATGAATGAACCTCCTGGTGCTCGGGCCCGAGTAGCTTTGACTGGACTGACTGTAGCCGAATACTTCAGAGACCAAGAAGGTCAAGATGTACTTCTGTTTATTGATAACATCTTTCGCTTTACCCAGGCTGGCTCAGAGGTAAGAAAGAAAAGGGCAGTTGGTTTTGAGCTTTCTGCAGAATAATGCACATGAGGGAAAAGATAGACTGGATAAGTAAAAAAAATTTTCTTACTCCTCTTTTTAAAGGTTTCTGCCTTACTGGGCAGAATCCCTTCTGCTGTGGGCTATCAGCCTACCTTGGCTACTGATATGGGTACTATGCAGGAGAGAATCACCACCACTAAGAAAGGATCCATCACCTCTGTACAGGTAAGAAAAAGTAAATTAATGAATATTTACAAAACATATACGGAGAAACAGAAAAATCCCAAAAGAGGTCTTAATCTAGGGTTGATGAGTGTTCCAAAATAATGAAACATGCAGTCTTCAGAGCAACTCGGCGGCACATAACAACGAACAACAACGATGTATATCACAGATTACAAGATTCAGCATTCATTTAAAGTAATCAAAGGAATGGATGTAAATACAGGTCACTAAAGGTTTCAAGTAGAGTGTATAGACAGCTTTATGTGCTACATGTGTGTCATTCACTATCCCTTGAGTCCATTCTGACTTAACTGCAACCTTCTGTAGGGTTTCTGAGAGGCTTTTATTATTATTTTTGTGTGTTTTCTGTCAAATTGGATCTGACTGGTACAAGAGGAGATTGCCCCTCCTTCTCCAGTGGAACATCTGGTAGATTCGAACCCCTTATCTCTTGTAGTGCAGAGGCTTTAAATCTTAATAGGAGGAAACTGCCTAGGTTACTCTTGGAGCCTCTGGTAGATTAGAGCTGCCAGAGAATTAGCAATGCAACACATTAAGACTGTACTATCAAAGCTCCTTACATAAGAGTGTGTATGATAGTGATATAAAAATGAGGTGAAATTAATTTGTCTTTATAGTAAACTATTGTTAAAAAGTTGCTCAAGGCCATTTTTTAAAAATGCTGAAAGTGAATACCATTACTTTTTTTTTTTAAATCTCAGTTCATCACTGTTGAGTTGAAACTAACTCATAGCTGATCATCCAGCATGTTTCTAAGGTTGTAAATTACACAAGTGGAGATTGCCTGCCTTTAAAGGAGTATATGCCAACCAGGAGGCACTGTTATTAGGTTGGGCAACTCCCAGTGGCCTAAGCTACCATACCTATCTGGATACTATTCGAGAAGAAGTGAGCATGATAGTGAGAAGCCTTCCATTGCTGTTTAGTGGGGACCGCATGATCTGTACATTATTTAGCTGGGGTGGGGGGGGATGGTTTTCTAGATCTTAAATTTTAGATGTTAAAGAAATGGGAGATGATGACAAAGAACTAGGATTAGCTTTAGTAGGACTGTTACATGCTGCTTCTCATAGATTGTTGATTCATTTTAGGCTATTTATGTGCCAGCTGATGATTTGACTGATCCTGCTCCTGCTACTACCTTTGCCCATTTGGATGCTACAACTGTATTGTCCCGAGCCATTGCTGAGCTGGGAATCTATCCAGCTGTGGATCCTCTAGATTCCACCTCTCGCATTATGGACCCCAATATTGTTGGCAATGAACATTATGATGTTGCCCGTGGGGTGCAAAAAATTCTACAGGTAAATACAGTGGTCATAAAGAGTGAATTTGGGACATACATCATTGTTTCATTGGGTCAGAACTGAAAGCTGATCTTCCCTGTGGGTTTTCTTTTGGGCAGTAAGTCACACAGGAAGAGATTGGTCTTCTCTCTCCCAAGGAGCAACTGATGGGTTTGATAGCCTGCCTTTGGGTTGGCTGTGCACCTCTTTACTCACTAGGCCACCAGAGCTCCCTAAGGACTGTTAGGTATTTCTTAGTGACATCTGGTTTACTTGATGGAAAAGAAAGGTTACACTGAGTTTCTAGTGAGTATTAATGAGGTTTAAGTTACCAAGCTTAAGAATACAGAGAACAAATCACTGATACTGGCTAAGGTGCCCTCATGATTCTTAGAATATATAATTTCCCCTTCTAATTGAGTCATTCCATTTGTGACTTGAAGTATAAATGTTAAAGTGTGTGAACCAAACACATTGGGAATATAATGTACTAGTACGTAAAGGATTTTTTTGTTTTGTTTTTTCATCTAAGTAAAGGAATGTGACACTCAGTTATGTTTTTTTCCCCCCATCCTTAATAGGACTACAAATCTCTCCAGGACATCATTGCTATCTTGGGTATGGATGAACTTTCTGAGGAAGACAAGTTGACTGTGTCCCGTGCACGGAAAATACAGCGTTTCTTGTCTCAGCCATTCCAGGTTGCTGAGGTTTTCACGGGTCATATGGGGAAGCTGGTACCCTTGAAGGAGACCATCAAAGGATTTCAGCAGATTTTAGCAGGTGATAATTTTTTATATGTAAGGCTGAACCTTAAACTGCAGGAAATAGAAAATTGAAATCATCTTTTTTGTTGTCACTGTTCATGGTTTATTTGGTGTTTTAGTTGGTATGATACTGTTGCAATGCTTATATGTAGATCTTTACATTTTACATCACATCAGAGTTGCATTATACATTACTCTGATAAATATAGTACACAAAATAAGATCTTTTAGAACAATAATGTACAAGACATGCAATATTGAATTTGTACATTAGAACACAGAATGTGACTAAAAAATAAAAAGCTTATACTAGACTAGGCCAAAGTTATTTAACACAGTAAACATTCTAGTTTGAAGGGCAGTTGCAGCATGTGCAACATTGGCAGTGGTGTCTGAGACGTGTTGGAATTCTATTATACTAACCAGTTTAGAACTGCACAAGGTAAGTACCACCATCAGAACATAGCTGTAGGGTTTTATGGACCATTCCTAGGAAACGGATGTTTTTCTTTATGTCATATTTTACTGCTTTAATCAGACTGAATAAAGACAACATGCACAACCCCCAACTAAAATCCTTTTGTAGCCTAGACAGTGAAATGGTACAACAGAAGACTTTAAAACCGCAGTTCTTTTTGGATTCCCCAAAGTGTATCTGCACTCTTCTTCAAACGGGCCTCTTCCTCAGGAGTCAGCGTCACCTTCACGACGTCTGAGATTCCATTCTGCCCCAAGATGCAAGGAACACTAAGGAAGACATCGTCTTTAATTCCATAAAGACCCTTAATCATGGTGGAAATTGGATGTACCCGCCTAAGATTCTTCATTATACTTTCTGCCAGATCTGCCACAGACAGTCCAGTGGCCCAGGAGGTATAGCCTTTCAGTTTGATCACCTCATAGGCACTGTCAACCACCTGCTTGTGAACCTCTTTCCACTGTTCCTTATCTGAATCAGTACCTAATTCAGGATGCAGATTTTTGAGAGAGACACCAACCACATTCACTCCACTCTATACAGGCACACTAGAGTCTCCATGCTCTCCAAGGACCCCGCCATGACAGCTCAATGCGTGAACTCCCAGCCTCTCCCCCATTAGGTAACGGAACCTCGCTGAATCCAGATTGCATCCACTGCCAATAACACGGTTTTTGGGAAAGCCACTGATCTTCCAAGCCACATAGGTAAAGATATCCACTGGATTAGAAACAAGCAGCTTGCAGTTTGGGCTGTACTTTACATTAGGAATGATGAATTTAAAGATGTTCACATTAATGCTGGACGAAATTGAGACGGCTTTCCCCCTCCTGCTGACGTGCTCCCGCTGTGATAATAACCAGCTTGGAATTTGCAGTTACGTTGTAGTCTTTGCCAGACACAATTTTTGGTGTTCTAAGGAAAAGGCTGCCATGTTGGAGATCCATCATCTCTCCCTTTAATTTGTCTTCCATGACATCAACAAGTGCAAGTTCATCTGCCAAGTCCTTCATTAAAACACTGATGGCACAGGCCATGCCAACAGCACCAACCCCAACAACTGTAATCTTATTCTGGGGTGTCTGTTCTTCCTTAAGAAGATTCTGAATCAGCTGATCCTTGAGAGTTGCCATACTGGATTTGGGTGAGGAAGGTACTGGGAATGCATGTCGGGCGGGCTTCAGTGGCGGTGGCGCGAGGCGGCGAAATCCTGACTCTGCAGCTCCGGGACTCCAAAATCATCTTAAATGTTTTCTTGGGGTTCTCATTCCAGCAACTATCAAGCTATATATATATATGTGTGTGTGTGTAATGTGCCTACTTACAAATTATTTTTGTTTTCTATAGGTTTTGTTTAAAGATAATTCTGTGTGTGAACTTTTGTGACTTGATTCCTTAGCATTCTTTTTTGATATTTAAGTACTTTCATACTTGGAACTCTTCTAAGTGAATTTTCCGTTGTCATTCATATAGAGAACCATGAAATATTTCTGGTGGCTTAATACTTTTCATTAGGCTTTGTACTGCTTAGAGAAAGATCATTTGTTTTCATCCGCTAGCTGCTGTATGGGAGAACACACAACCTTTTTTCTATAAAGATTTACAACTTCAGAAACCTGATGAAGGGTTGCTGTGAGTTGAAAAAGACTCAACAGCAGTGGGTTTGGAGTTGTATTAAGATTTTTAAAATGCCAGGAGTTCAGTTCGCTCTTGAATGTTGGACACATTCTCTGCTTTTCACTAGTATTTTGTTTCGTTTCTACCTAGGTGAATATGACCATCTCCCAGAACAAGCCTTTTATATGGTGGGACCCATTGAAGAAGCTGTGGCAAAAGCTGATAAACTGGCTGAAGAACATTCGTGAGGGGGTCTTTTGGTTGGGCAAATTGTCCACTGTGCTTTTCATCTTCTTGCCCCTTGTCCAGAAAGCTTCCATTTTCTGTGTAAGCCACATGAGAATGAAGATGTTGTGTTGTCTAATGAATATTTAAAGTTTCCAATAAAATGTACATCCTCATATCTGTCTGGTTTTTTTGCCAACATTAAAGTTTTTTTACTGTTTTTTAGCAAAAAAAGAATATCTGCTTCTTGCATTGATGTACAACTGAGTTTTGTGAAAGGTTTTTTGTAAACAGTAATAGGGCCAAATTGGTTTTCTTTCCTGCTTTTTAAGAAGCTTAGATTGATGGGATTTCTAAGGTATTAAAATGGGTGGGATTTTTCTGTGTCTTTGAAATCAATTAGACTCACCCTGTGAACAACAGATCAGCCTGGTCCTATCCAGTACCATCCTCAGGAATACAAACATGCCAGAGCCCACTGTCAATGCATCTCTGACCTGCTACCTTTTCCAGAATGTTCTTTTTTCCAAGGACTAGCATTTCTTGATAACACCAAAGTATGTGAGGTGAAGTTTCACCATCTTTTCCTCTGAAGAGCATCCCAGGTTACACTTCCCTCGTATTTTGGCAATCCACTATCTATTAAGTACTTACTGGCACCAAAATTAAAAGGCATCAGATCTTTGGCATAGTATTTCCAATACCAGTGAAGGTCACTGATGGACAGGTTTCAGTGGAATTTCCAGATTCAGACTAAAAAGAATGATTATACACTTCTGAAATAAAACTTTCAACTACCATATTAATGAGAAACAGTGCTGGCAACTACCATATTAATGAGAAACAGTGCTGGAAGAGCCCCTTGGTTGGAAAGCATTAAAAGAGATGTGAATAATCCATTCTAATGGGAACAGGTAATGTACAAAATATGAATGCAGGAAATTGGAAGTTGTAAAAAAAATGGACTGCATATGCATCCTAGGTGTTAAAACTGACTCATAGCCGACCTAAAAGTACATTTCCAGAGGCTGAAAATTGCAAGGTAGATTGCCCATCGTTTTTTCCATGAAGCACCTGCTGGGTCTGAACTGCTTGTGTTGGGGTTAGCAACACAATTCCCTGTTTTTTAAAAACATACGTTTTTTTCTTTTTATTGGTTTGCATACGTCCCTACCTTCTTGAGTCACATGATGATGCAAAGAATGACAGAAGAGGAATAGTGTCATATTCATCGTCAAAAAAGCATCTCAAGATGTATCCTGACTTACGAGGATACATCTATGTACAAAGGTGAGATTAGAATTTATTTCATGAACAATTTAGTGAGTTTAACTTAAGTATAGTGGTGACTGAGTAGATTTGTGTAAAAGCTGACTACATAATGGTGCTCTGGTGGCCTAGTGGCAAGAAGCTGCACTGCAATCCCAGAGGCATGCCTTTGAGTCCACCAGATGCTCTGATGGAGGAGGGACCAGTCAGATCTGATTTGATGGTACACACAAAAATTAATTTAAAAAAGCTGACTACAAACTCCTTACGTTTCAGGCTTATTCAAAAAGTGGTCCTAAATTGTTTCTTTGACTAGGAGTCAGCAACCCTGTCAACAAAGGATATGAACCCTGCCCTAGCTTGTACCATCTTCATTATCTGATATACTAGAGCCTATTGCTAGTCACTGTATTAGTCCATCCTATTAAGGGTCTTCCTTTTTTTACCCCTCCACCTTTCAAAACATGGTGTCGCTTTCTAAGAAATAGTCCTCCTAACAACATGCCCAAAATATGAGATGAAGCTTCACCAATTTTGCCTCCAAAGGGCCCTCTGGCTGCACCTACTTAATGACATACATTTTGGCAGTCCATGGGATTTCATATTCTTCTCCAGTACAATTCTTTGATTCTTCTGCCATCGGTATTGTCCAGTTTTTTTGATTACCTGTTACGTTCTGTAACATTCCTTGTAAAATTGAAGATACAAGGAACTATAAGGTTAGCTGGATTGAGGTTAACTAATGAAATTTTTGTGCTATGGCAGCCTAGTTGTAAGGGGCTGCACTGCCAACGCAAGTGCAGACAGTTCCAATCTATGCGCTGTTCCATGAGAGAGAAAAAGGGGCAATCTCCCCTGGGATTTACTGCCTCTGAAAAACCCACCGGGTCAGCTGTGTGTGGGTCAGTTTTGACTCGATAGTATGTAACAATGGAATTTTTAGCCTGTTAAAATGTAAGGGACGCAAGAAGAATTATAAGTAGAATCATTCCCCTTTAAGGCAAGCGTACTGTGATGCAAAGTTATATTTTGTGCGGTAAATACTCTTCAAGCTGCCCTGGATATTAAGCCAAAATTCAGCAATTTGAACCCACCATCTTCTCTAGGAGAAATATGTGGTTTCCATACAGCATTGGAAACCCTGAGGAGTGCTGTTCTATAAAGTTGCTGTGAGTTGGAGTCATTGGCGACTGGTTTGGTCATACAGTAGTTAAAAATACTTGACTGCACCAAAAGATCTGCAAGTTAAACCCACCAAAAACTGGGAGAAAGATGTGTGTGTAAAAATGACATCATTTCCCCAGAGAAAACAGAACACTGGCAGCCAATTTCATCCTGTACTACCCACATAAGAAGGGGGAAAACACTTTGCTGGGGAATCTGACCAATTCAAGAATAAATACTAAGCATTTTTATATTGGAAAGATTACCACAACAGAAACCCTGTGGGGCAGTTTTATGACAATGGTTTTGGTAATTGTTCTTTGCAGTTCAGACCCATTCCACTGCCCTCTGGTGGGTGTTCTGAAGGTAGTGGTGAGAGCGCTGATCTCACCATTTTGAAATCATTGAAGACCATTAGCTGAGATGTGATGCTCAGCTAATGACTGTTTACAAATCAGCTGGGGCTTTTGTCCTGAGGAGGAGTCTGGAACTATAAGCTCCACCTCCGTGGGCTTTCAAGCTTCGGCAGGGTGGAAGCAGGGCGGAGAATAGCTGAGCTCCCAATTCAGAGGCCCCTGGAGGCTGAAGGTTAGGGAGGGGCCTTGGGAGAGGCGCCAGGGGTGGAGTAGTGGCCTCTAAGCTTCCTTGTGTCTGCCTATGACGTCCTAGGCACCAGTCTCTCCAGTGTCATGATCTGAACAGAAGATGGAGCCCCTGAGTTATCTGTGCTAGGTAGTTTGCTTCCAGAAATTCCAGGATTTGGGGAAATGCTGAGTTACAGGGGTGGGAGTACTTCCTCTTGCTCCTGACTTGGGTGTGGGTGGAGAAAGCCCCAAGGTATGGATCAGCACTTTCTGCTTTGCTTTCCCTACTTACCCAGTTGCAGGCTGGTTGCATTCTTCACTCCCTTCCCCCTACCACATTTATGTTCTTCAATAATCAAGAACCTTTATCCTCTCAGCAGCTGTGACTTTATTTCCTTCCCTCTTGCTGCTGGAGTGTCAACACAGATCTAACCTTCCTCCATATTTCTCCTGGTCTGCCCTGTCCTTGCCTCCTCCCTTTCTCCACCCAGAGAAAGCCCCGCCTTTCCCTCCTCCCTCCTCCCCCCTTAGTCTGTCACACGGGGACATCACCCAACAGCAGTTCAGGCTGTGGTTTGCAGGAAGCACACATTGGCTTTTTGATTCTTGCTAGTTCCCAGCTCACAATTTGGGAGGATCTAAAACCAGCTTTTACCGAAGGGGGACCCAAGGACAGTGAGGAGCTGGATGGTCCCAGTTCTGGAGCTCAGCCAGCCAGACATGGGTGAGTATAGGGACCAGCCACGGGAAGGTCTGAGGGATGTCTAACTCCCTCCCTGGCTGACTCAGCAGGGGTGTGGTCTAACCTTTGCTCTTTTGGGGAGTAGAGGAGGGGAAACGGGGCCAGAGGGGACACTGGGTTCACCTACGAAGGCTCCTGACCCTGGGATTTGAAGTGTCGTAAAGCTTGAGGACCTACAGTAGTCTGAGCTTGCATCTTAGGTCAACATTCCCACACCTCTACCTTGGGGGTGTTGCCCCTCGTTTGTCCGTTTCAAAGCTGCTGACAAGAGTAGGGTTCTACTCACTGCTAGCCCACCCCTCCAGGAAAGCTCACTTCTGTTTGCGGCCCCAGGGTCTTCAGAGTGTTAATGTTCCCCAATTTTCTCCTTGGCTCTAAGTCCCTGTCTTTTCTCCTCCCCCACCCAACCGGCCAAAAGGTGGGGGCTGCACGAAGCAGCTGCTTCCTGTTGCCCCAGAGGTTGCAGCAAAGGGTGGTGGTTGTGGGGGAAAACTGAACTAGAAGCCGATTCTCACGGTTCCCCATCAGCCTCACTCACCAGGGCTGCTATTGGCGGCCCCCCACACGCCCGTCTCTGAGGTCACTGAGAGAGAGGCGGGATTGAGGTTGCGAAGACTAGGAGATCTCTCTCTGCCCTCATGGCTTCCTGATTCCAGAGGCTTTTAAACTTGAGCAATCTTGGGGGGGAGTGTTGGCTGTGTCTTTCCACCGCTGGGATGGGGCTCTGAAAAGCCAAAACAAGGGAAACCTGTTCACCTAGTAGGACACAGTACGTGACCCCCAGCCGGGTTGGCCTTGCGTTCCCTATCTGGCACTTCCACGCCTTCATGGCGTCCTTGTGGCTTTCCCAGCCTTCCCGGGCTGCCTTTGTGAAGAGGTCTTTGTCAGTACCTTAGGAGCACAAGCAGAGAGCTGTCCCATGCCCCACACAGTTCAACCCACCACTTCCTCCAACCCCCCACCCCACCGCTGAACTTTCTTTCTCTTCCTGGGATCTGTTCCCATCCTCCTTTGGGATCCTTCCTGGTTCTGACCCCTAGGAGACGCCACCCGTTTACCCCTCCCCCAGCGGCTCCTTCGCGACAGTCCTAGAGCGCCCGTCCTCACCCCAGCAGCTCCGGCCCCTTTAAGCGCCACCTCCCCCCTCCCCCCGCCGCCGCCACCGGCCCGGGGCTGTGGGAGGAGGCGCCGCTGCCGCCGGCTCGGCCACCTGCGCCGTCGCCACCGCCGCCGGGCCCTACTCCAGGTGAGGCCCGGCTCTAACCTCCGACCACGGAGACCCAGGGCAGGCCTCCTTTCGCGGTCCCTCGCCCGGGGATCCCCGCGGCTCTGGGATTCAGGACCTGATCCCGCCTCTTGCCTGCACTGTCTTACTTACCCATTTCTCCTTGGTCCTCTGCTACCAGAATCTAGA